TTTACACACTTTTCCTGAAGATAGAAGAGTTTGTTGAATCTGACGTGGCATGTTTGTACGAACTAAAGTAAGAGAAATTTAGGATAAGAATACGAACATGTTCTTGCATGAGGCCCATTATTATCAAGGGAGCACAGATTAACAGGGAGTTTATTCCAGAGCCTGGGGGCCACAGAGGAGAAGGCATGGTCACCACGAGTCTTGAAGCGAGTGAGGGGAACCATAAAGAGATTTTTTATGGCAATTTAGAGTCAGCGATTAGTTTCCATTCGTCACAGCCCAGTGAAATACTACCTGTATGCAAACTGGGTTTTAACATCAACAGCGATGATAACATCTAATCGCWCTTCCAAAGGTCAACATTCACAGACACCAATTGTCTGGATTAAAATGACTTATTGGCACATCTCAAAAACATACACTGCTACTTCAAAATTACGTCAAACTGGTAAAATATTAGATACAGTATGAGGTAAGTTTAGATAGTTAACTTACCTCATAAAACAGGCTCAGAACCGGCAGCACACAGAGTCAGTTTGTGATCCTCTTCAAATATCAGCTCTGCCAGCTACCAGTGTTTTTATTTGTTTTAGCATATGGGTTTTTCTGGTCTACACGTACGTCTGAGAATAAGCTGAGAGTTCTTRTGGGTCTGTTCACAGTCGAACTGTTCAGTTATCCCTCTTTGTGTTTTAGATTTAACTACTCRGGGGATGTTGTACCCTTGTTCAGACTTTGTTTGTATATTTTAGCTGTTCACTTTCTGGTGCTGAGTTAATATCAGAGTTAACTGATGAAACTGAACATCACGTAAAAACATGATGTTATGATAAGTCAGCATTGTATAATGTGAATAATAGTAATAATAGATTTATAATAACCACAGTGTTTTTCTTTTCCTTGGCGGAGCTTTATGTAAATGATGTGCAGCTTTGACAACAGTTTGTTATTGCAGCCTTTCCAGTGTCGGTGCAGAATGGCTCCCTCCATCAGAAGGACACCGTGCATGATAATGACTTTGAGCCCTATCTCACCAACCAGTCCAGTCAGGTAGGCACTGAAGATTTTCTTAAATTTTGTAACAATATTCTTTTGGGTTGGGAATGGTGGGATTTTTCCTACAGTTTACCCTCATTTTGTTTTTGTTGTAGAATAACAGCTATCAATCAATGACAGATCCTTACCTGTCCAGCTACTATGCCCCCTCTATCGGATTCCCTTACCCTCTCAATGAAGCTCCATGGTCTACAGGAGGTGACCCACCAATCCCCTACCTGGCCCCGTACGCCCCCCTCAGTAATGGAGACCATCATTTCATGCCTGACACAGTGTTTGGGCAGCCCGGTGGGCTCAGCAGCAACATTTATCCCCACAGGTTTAACTTTTTCCCAGAGAATCCAGCTTTCTCRGCCTGGGGCACCAGTGGCTCTCAGGGCCAGCAGACTCAGAGTTCAGCCTACGGGGGCAGCTACAGCTACCCACCCAGCTCTCTGGGGGGCACACTGGTCCCCGATGGTCAGACGGGTTTCCACAGTGACACCCTGAACAAGGCGCCGGGCATGAACAGCCTGGAGCAGGGCATGCTCGGCCTGAAACTTGGCGGGGACGTGACGGGAAACRGCTCAGGTGTGAAGAGTGCGGGCTCTGTGATAGGTGGGGGCGTGGCTGCGGCTGTTGCCACGGCCAACAGTGGCACACCAATCGGGATGCCCCCTCAGAAACCAACATCATGGGCGGCTATTGCTAGTAAACCTGCCAAGATGCAGCAACAAAAGACAAAGAACAAGCCTTTTGCTCCTTCAGCAGGAGTTCTGCCCCCGCCTCCKATCAAACACATGGACATCGACACGTGGGATAATAAAGGCATCGCCACCAAGATGGCCGCTCCATTACCTCAGCAGCACCCGTCCCAGATCCACCCCCACGTTCAGAGYCTCATCCCGCCCCTCCAGCAGTCCCTGCAGTCAGCCCAGTCCCTCGTGCAGCAGATGACCATGCAGGGTCCTGCTCCGGCACCCCCTCATTCCTATCAGAACCACAGTTCTGCTCCCGCGCCGCAGACCCGCTGGGTGGCGCCGCGCAACCGCAAYCTGTGCTACAGCGGCGGCAGCCTGGACAGCAGCAGCTCCTCCAACAACGGCGGCGTGGGCAACGGAGCCGCGCTGGGCGGGGTTGCACCCCCGGAGCCGGGACCGGAGTCCCATCCAGTGCTGGAGAAGCTGCGGGCGTCCCACAGCTACAACCCCAAGGACTTTGAGTGGAACCTGAAGAACGGCCGCGTGTTCATCATCAAGAGTTACTCCGAGGACGACATCCACCGCTCCATCAAGTACTCCATCTGGTGCAGCACGGAGCACGGCAACAAGCGCTTGGACTCCGCCTACAGGGCCATGAACTCTAAAGGTCCCGTCTACTTGTTGTTCAGCGTGAACGGCAGCGGTCATTTCTGCGGCGTGGCGGAGATGTGCTCTCCTGTGGACTACGGCACCAGCGCTGGAGTCTGGGCACAGGACAAGTGGAAGGGCAAGTTCGACGTGAACTGGTTGTTTGTTAAGGACGTGCCTAACAGCCAGCTGCGCCACATCCGTTTGGAAAACAACGACAACAAGCCGGTCACCAACTCACGTGACACTCAGGAGGTTCCTTTGGAAAAGGCCAAGCAGGTGCTTAAGATTATTGCGCAGTTCAAACACACCACCTCCATCTTTGATGACTTTTCTCACTATGAGAAGAAGCAGGAGGAGGAAGAGGTGGTGAAAAAGGTAACTATAAAAKGATTGTTGTGATGTTTATTATAATACTTTATTCAAGGGAAAATCAGTATAATTTGTTGTATTAAAACAACACATTCTCTCCATGGTTTTACTTTTTTATGTCTTCATTGATATTAAAGATTATTCCAGATTTGCTTCCCCTATTTTAGGTCCAGTTTTATTTAAAACATGCAAATTTTCCAAGCATGCCATTTTTTTACTTGAAAAATCAGGTGAATTTTACATAAGCTGAACAAATTTACAACTATTTCAGTATGTGTCAAAGTATATGAAGGTAATTTTTTTTTATTATTCAAACAAAAA